ATATATATATATATATATATATATATATATATATATATATATATATATATATATAATATTAAAACTTCTTGTCATGATTTCCATTTTTTATATGAATAATATTTTATATGAATAACCTTTCCTTAACCAGGATAGTACTACTGAGATTAAAAACCTCTTTTCTAAGGAAGTCCTGTTCAAGAGGCAGCAAATAAATGGTGCCTAGTTAAAAGAAAAACAACCTAATTTTGAGGCAAAAGCACTCTGTGAGATAAGATGAGTTGATTTAAAAGTCTTCTGTAATAATTTCCAGGAGGAGGGAGCTGAGTGAACAAAGGGTTTCTTTCCAAATTCAATCAGAGCAAAATGGTCACAGAGAAGCACCAACATACTGTAAGGTCATAAGGTTTACAAGTCAATATTTCTCAGGGGAATTACAGAGCAGATAGAGGCTGGCAACACTCGAAATACATGTTAACCAATGGGAATTCCTTCAAGCAGCCAAACCAGTCCATCCTAGCTGTGAATATAAAGCATAATGGTATGATGATATTTGACATATGCCTCCTTGCAAATGTGTCAACTTCTATTTCCAAATATTACAGTTATTGCTAATAACTGATACAACGAGAGGGTGATTGGCTGCAGTCTTTAGACCTGTAAACCTCCAGAACCCTGAGGCGAGTGTGAGATTGCAGCTAATGCCTCCCACCCAGACACAAACTGCCCTCCTCTGGTAGGAGGATGAGGTCTATCAGAAGCAGAACATCTCACTAAAAAACAGCGTCTTCCCTTCCCCTGCTAACGGATCCCAAAGGAGAAAAAAATCATTGAAAACAAACACAAACAAAAATGAGAAACAAAAAAGAAAAGTTTAGTTTTATATAATTTCACTCTAATTTTATAATGATATTGTTTAATAACTGCCATTTTGTTCTTTATATACAACCAGCATTTATTTATTCTAATTTTTTTTTTTAATATCTGGATTTATTTTCTTTAACTGTTTGTGGTACACCTCAGTACCAAAGAAAATTCCTAATATGTGTATTTTTATTATTATTATTATTATTATTAAACCTTTATTCAACCAAGACCTGGCAAAAAAACGAAATAAAAAAATTATTGAAGGAAAAGCAGATAAAACCGATCAAAGGATGCAATTTTGTGTAAAACACTAAATGGGAAAAAGGCATTTCTGATTCTGAACTTTTGTAAAACATAAACCAGAGGACAATCATTAATGGTGTAAACCTGTATATAAATTGGATTAGCTTTGTAAAATTAGACAAGATTCATTGTGAATCTGCACTGAATGAATAACTGATCAAGCTTTTGTTGTGAAAGGAAGACAAGAACCCCTCAGGCTCAGTATAAATTAAAGGTGTTGTCCTGGTCAGGTGTGGTCAGTGACCACTGGCCTCCTACTGGACGTCCTGTGCGGCTGCAACGCTCCGGTCACCTCCCTGCTCCTCTACAAAGGGTTTGTGGTGTCGGCCTCGTCCGCTGCAGCTTCAGTTCTGCTATGGAGCCTGAAATACGACACCCACCACCAACCCCCCGCCCACATCCCGGCAGGCTCCGCCCACTCAGTCATCACCAAGGATGGAGATCAGGTTTTCTATGTCCACCATCGGAGCCAGAGGGAGGTGATGATCTGGAACAACCGCACAGGTCAGGACTCTGATCCAGTTCTTACTCCTTTGGGTTTTTCTTCCCGGTCTTCCTCTGATCCAGCCTGTTTATGCTGCAGGTTCTCTGTCGGAGCGTTTGGCTGTCTCTGCAGAGGTCAGCTGTTTGGAGCTGGCCCAGCACAAACGTTTGCTCCTCTGTGGTCTGGCCAGCGGCACCGTCCTCATCTATCCGCTGACGCTCCCCCAAGAGACCCTCTGCATCCCTCCTCCAGAGAGCCTGTCCCCGGTGCTCTGCCTGGCTGTCAGCTCACAGGAGAAGCACCTGGCTGTGGCCTACAAAGACTCAGTGTGTCTTTTTGAAATCACCACTAGAGATAACTTTCCCACCGTGGAGGGGCCCCTGGGGAGGGCCATGCTATCAGTCCTCCAATCGCCACTGTCCTCCATGGCCCTGCTGCCCGACCGCAGGCTGCTGTATGGGACGGACTGTGGGAAGGTGAAGCTCCACGACTTCAGCACCACGGCCAGCTCCGACCTGCAGCCGCATCGCAGCAGGGTCACCTGTGTTGCGTCCAGTAACTGGGGTACCCACGCCTTAGTGGGCTCCCAGGACGCCACGCAGAGACTGTGGGCCCTGAAGCCAGTTGTTCTGGACCACACCATGGAGTACAAGGTGAGATCTGAGAGCTTCAGACCACAGCAGAGAAGGTTTAATGTGGAGGTTAATGTTTCCTCTGCTCTGGTTTCCTGATCAGGGTTTGTTCTTCGAGGGTGTCCTCTGTGCCTCCTTCTCTGAAAGTGACCAGTTTGTCTTCACTGGATCACAAGACCGAACCATCAAAGTCTGGGATGTGGCTTCAGGTAAAACAGTTTTCTAATCTGGCAGGAAAACCCTGCATGGTTGACCTCCTCTCTGAGTACCAACATGAGTAACGGATGATTAGAGGCTCCAGTTTTCATTATTTAATCACCAACAGACCAGCTGATACTGTTGACCACTGGGTGGCGCTGATGAAAACACGCTCAGTTAGATTGCTTTAAAGTCCACAAAGCTGCACACTATAAAATAAATCCCACTTTGTTGCAAGGCAAAGAACTTTAATCCATCCATTCAGTGAAAGAACAAGGCCTTGGATCTTAACCTTCAACCAAACTTAAATGATGGGTGGAGATATTTGATATCGGAAGGACTGATGAGATGTTTTTTGTTCTGACCCGTTTGGAATGTTAGAGTCTCTGCGGAACCATGGTTCTTCGTGAAACACATGAAGCAACATGTTTTTAATATTTTTTTTTTTAGATGGATGGTTTTCAGAACCCATTCTATTGAAGTAGCTGTTGTTCTGTAACTTGTCCAGTGGTTTGGTTCTGTGACCACAGTTCTGTTATTTTCCCTTTAGGTAACCTGCTCTACGTTCAGTACGTCTACTCCCCCGTCGTCCGCATGGTGACGTTCAGGAATGGCTTTGTGGCGCTGTCCCTGGAGGGGTCCGTCATCCAGGAGGCCTTCCGCTGTCCGGAACACATCGATCCGGCCTACAACCCTCTAAGGAACATCAGGGCTCAGTACCGGGTCACCTCAAGAGAAAAGCACAGCGACGGTCAGCAGAGCTGTATGTCTGACCTGCAGGACTTCAACCCGGCCCAGATCAACCTGAACCTCATCAGCATGCTCAGAACCAAGCCCTCCTCCTCCTGCATCCTCCTGTAGAACACCAGAACCCCTAATCAGGGAGTTCTGTTTGTGTCAGATCTGAATCCTGAATGCTTTTTTATGGTGTTGTTGTGTAAAAATCCGCTTTGACTTTATTCTGAAAGGTTCTGAAGCTGCTTAGTCCTCATTAGAACTTCAGCATGTTCCAATAAAACCTTCTCCTGTCTAAACCTGATTTATTTAAGTGAAGACGCGTTCTCCTCGTCCCCAGAGCAGCACCACTCTCAGCCTGATGGTCCCTTCTGATCCCTTTAACAGGCGGTTTGTTTCTGATTCCCGTGAGCTTCCTTAAAGCCATGACGACTCATATCAGCTGCAGCATTTACTCTCCTCAGCATCTGATCCACAAAGAAAACAGCATTAAGAGACGTTGAAGCCTCAACTTTATTCCAGTCATACAGCTGGCATTGGAACCAGTCTAGTCTCATCAACAACAGCGATGGAGAAGAGGGGGAGCTGGGAGGTTCTGAGGAAGGACAACATCTAGAACAGATCAGGATAGATGTTTTACCTTCATGTAGTTTGATGTAATTGTTCTCATAAGTGCTGCTCAATCAGAAATAAAATCTTAGCGAAGAAGATCGTCTTTTTGTTCTTTCCACTACAAGACTGGCCGACTGTCTTCAGCCCAAATACTGAACCTGAGTCGCAACAAGGTTCTGTTCATTCACACAGGCTTTAAGGTCCGTTTTCTTCTTGGTTTGATCTAGAAGTTTGGACCAGAAGAGAGGAAGAATCCCCTCCACCCTCTTTCCACCATTAGCACTCAGAAAACTGGGAGGTTTCATTTCATCAATTGGAAATCACAACCAGAAGGGAAACATTCATTGTTAATTTTGGGGAGTAAACAGACATGAAACATGATGGACTTTAGCTCAGATCTAAAATATTCTGTCATTAGGCAGCAGCTCCATTTTAACTCTAATAATGGAGGTAAGAGAAACTGCTCTGCCCTCTCTTGGCTTAACTAAATCTAATTACAATACAGAAAAAATGATTAGTTGAATAATAAAATTAGGTTAAAATGAAAAAATACACCTAAAAGATTGAAAATTGAATATCAAGAGCAAAACAGAACTCTTTTTAAATGACTACTAAAAGTCTAAACAGAGTTTAATGATGAAGCTGCAGGTTATGCTACAGTTTGGGTTTCGGTTTCTGCAAATGTAAATTTCAATCCATCCATTTTCTCCCGCTTAGTCATTGTCAGGGTCGCGGTGGAGCCGGTGCCTATCTCCAGTTGTTTAGGAGCGAGAGACGGGTACACCCTGGACGGGTCGCCAGTCTGTCGCAGCGGCACACTACCGCTCACACACACTTACTCACACCTAAGGAAAGAAGCCAATTAGACAAGCAGTCGTCTATTTGGACTGCAGGAGGAAGCCGGAGTACCCGGAGAAAAATCCACACTTGCTTAGGGAGAACATGCAAACTCCATGCAGAAAGGCAGGAATCGAACCCAGAATGTTCTTGCTGCATGGCAACAGTGCTACCCACTGCATCACGGTGCAGCCTGCAAATTTTAAAAACAACATTTGTAGGCTTCCAATAAATAAATTAAGAAATCCATAAATCAAACGTTGAAAAATCTTTTAGCAAAAAAAAGGGTCTGGAGCACTGGGAGAACATGACAATTCCATGAAGAAAGACCAAATCGAACCCAGAAACTTTTTGCTGCAAGGTAACAGTGCTACAAACTGTGTAGCCCGAGATATTAACTTATTGTTTAAATAATGATTAAAACAGACTTAAAAAGAAAATAAAAATGGGTCCAAAGGCCCTATCAGTAACTGTCTGTTATGAGAAATGGGATAGAAATTATGTTTATCAGTACAGGGGCCATAACAGGAGCTGGGACCAGTTATACAGGGGCACCAGCTCATGGGGCCATATTAAATGCTCATCAATGTTTGGAGAAGTTGTTAGTATCCTTCTATGAACATGAGATCCAACCCCAAACCGGTCCCTAAGCACTGACCCTGCTATTGGACATTTCCGCGGTGGGTCTGCCACATTGAGGACATCCCCAACCAGGTAGTGGGTAGTGTGAGTTGACCGTTTAGCCCTTAAATAGTAAGTCTGCATCAGTGCAACGCTGGAATTTGGCAATGAGTTCAAAGGCAAAGTAGAATAAATAGAATAATAAAATAGTTCCGCTGGTTTGCAGCATCTTGATTGCTGTATCCTTAAACCCCAGTCGGCGTCGGCAGATGGCCGCTCACACCGAGCCTGGTTCTGCAGGAAGTTTCTTCCTGTTAAAACTGAGTTTTTCCTCTCCACTTTTGCTATAAGCATGTTTAGTGTGAGGGACTGCATTCGAGTCAATGAGTCGATGCAATCAACTGTCTTTCCTTAGATAGAAAACTTTGAATCAGTTTGACTATATGATCCGGTGAACTGTAAAGTGCCTGGAGATGACATGTGTTGTGAATTGGCGCTATATAAATAAACTGAATTGAATTGAATCTTCGTCACAATGACAGAAAATGACAAGTTAGGAAAAAGAAGAAAACAAGTAATTCCCTAAAGGGAATGTCCTCTTAGAAATAATTTGATTTGACTGCATTTTTCAATTTTTGATGTAATGTCAACCTGCGCCATAGTGCTACAGGCATGCATGGGGCGTCACTGTGTTGCCATAGCAACAACTGCTTGTGAGTGGATTAACATAAAAGGAAGTGAGGCTCAAACAAATGCAACATATGATTTGAGGATAAAAAATTATTTACATCTAATCTGTATGACTGAACTGAATTTATGAAATTCAGAAATAAACAAAACTAAACCATCTGCCATCAGAGATATTTGATTGTTAAATATACTTTTGGGATAAAATTGCTAATATCCTACCAATGCATCAAAAAAAAAAAAAAATCACAAAAGTGGTTTGAAACAAATAATTGTGAAGACATAAAAGATTGTAGTTTAAGGGAGCTGATTGGCCGCTCCATCAACTTAACAGGGGAGAAAATGAGCACATAAATGTCTTTAACAATCATATAATTATTAATACGGAGATAAGATAAACTTTATCTTCTCCATGCAGGTAGATTAGTTTTAGCGGCCGGGCGGGTTAAAGTTTCATCTCTAGTAATGTGATTTTATGGTGGATAAATCATTCATAGAAAAGATAACAGAATAATAATGAATAAAATGAATTACGGGGAAATCAATATGATGAACTTTTATTTACAGACCTGTAAAATACAACTTTTAAATTGAAAGAAAGTGTTACAGAGAAATATGTACATAAATAAAAACTAAATAAGATAAAGTCAAACAATATCCTCTGTAACCACCGAGGTTACAGAAGTCAAATGGAGAGATTTGTTCATCATGTCCAAAGGTGTAAAATGAATCACAATCTTAACTTTAGTAAAAGTTTAGATTCCTGTGAAGCAAATGGCTCTGATAAGACTAAAATAAAGTTTTTAACCCTGAATCACACAAAAAACATCTTATAAACTCTACAAATTCTAGAAAAAGAAAAGTTTTACTCACAGAAAATATAATAAAATCTTAGAAAGATATAGATTGCTCCACCCTAACGACCCTGTTTAACCTAACGACCTCCCTTTCAGAGGCATAGACCTGTATTATATTGCAGGCTAACAAAGACCTCAATGACTCCCCATGCCTAAGGGGCGGACCTGTTCTTCCGGTTTAACTTACATGTTTTTCTAAGCCAAAACAAGGCTTTGTTTGGGCTATTCTATAAAGCTTGGAACTCAAAGCTAATCCTTACATTTTGAATTAAAAAAGCTTCCTGGATGGGAAGCGAAATGTCTTCAAACTTGGAAACAAAGTCCAGTGGATTGTTTTTTTTAACTCAGTATTAATACTTATTCAGAAGAGTTTTTGTCGACCTAAGTGTCTGGGTGATGAACGTATCCAGACCAGAACACCCGCCTCTTCTTTGGTCACAGAAAGAGAATCAGCCAGATTGAGAAGATCCTCAAAGTGTCCTTTCTACTGTCCAAAGATATCATCTTTCAGGATCAGGGTTCCCCCTAACAATGGGGTTAATAACACCTCCTCACTAAGAGAGTACTTTATGGACTGAGTCACCTAACACTGTGCTTTGGCCATTATCCTGCTGAGGAACTCATGACCTTTCAGAGTGTTGGCAGTACATGTGGCTGCAGACATGGAGTGAATTTTATCCCATTGTTTTTGAAACCAAAGAGCACTTTTTGTAAATGGAAATTAAAAAAATGCAATCTGGAAACAAAACTTTGAAAAACTTCTGACTCAGGAGAATGTTTTACTCTCTCCTGCATCATCAGCTTAAATCTGAAGGAGGAAGGCCTCCCCACCCATCTACACACTCAATGCTCTAAATTTAGCATCAGTCTGCAATGCAGTGCAAACACGATCTGAATCAGCTCACATTCACAGATTAGTGAGAAAGATCTATTTAAAAGATCTGCAGTTTCTTTTAAAGCTGTGGGGAAATATTTCTAAATTAAATCTTACTATTCTGTATTTATTGGTTGCTCACATGGAAGAGATTTTATTTGCAGGCCTTTATTATTCATTAATTTGCATGAAACCCATTACCACATTGGGAATGCATCTATTTTTAACAGTCTAATCTACGTAGAAGACTGGAGGCTAATTTCTCCATCACAGGGTAGTTTGCTAGATATAAGGGGAAAGACGGATTATGTTAACAACCATGCAGCACTGCATGTTAATCAATGTGCCAGATATAAACTTGTAATACATGATGTACAAAGTCTGATTATCACACTGACAAGTCCCATCAAAGGCATCAGTAAGTGACACACAATGAGGCTAATGATTAATGAAGTTAATTCTTAGAGATTAACTTCTCTCTCAAAGTTCTTCATGGCATCTGTTCAAAAATTAACCACATGGTATTTGCTAGATGTCATTTGATGCAACAAGCCAAACCTTATTTCCCTCGCCTGTTTTCAATTACTCCTTGTTTTTTTCTAAGTGTTTTCTAAGTTGCTGATTATCTCATCCTTGTCCCTCCTGGTCCTTCCTCATCCTTGGTCATCCTTCCTCATCATTCCTCGTCCTTTCTCATCTTCCTCGTCT